CTAACTTTTTATCACCGGCTCGCTAACTTTTTATCTACAGCTCGCTTTTTATCTACAGTTCGCTAACATTGAATCTACAGCTCGCTTACTTTTTATCTACAGCTCGCTTTTTATCTACAGCTCGCTTTTTATCTACAGCTCGCTAACTTTTTATCTACAGCTTGCTAACTTTTTATCTACAGCTAGCCAACTTTTTATCTACAGCTAGCCAACTTTTTATCTACAGCTAGCTAATTTTTTTATCTACAGCTCGCTAACTTTTTATCTACAGCTCGCTAATATTTTTTATCTACAGCTCGCTAACTTTTTATCTACAGCTCGCTAACTTTTTATCTACAGCTCGCCAACTTTTTATCAACAGCTCGCCAACTTTATATCTACAACTCCCTTACTTTTTATTAACAGCTCGCTAACTTTTTATAACAGCTCGCTGACTTTTTGTCAACGGCTCGCTAACTTTTATTAACAGCTCGCTAACTTTTTAAAACAGCTCGCTAACTTTTTGTCAACGGCTCGCTAACTTTTATTAACAGCTCGCTAACTTTTTATAACGGCTCGCTAATTTTTGTCTAGCGGCTCGCTAACTTTCTATTAACAGCTCGCTAACTTTTTATCTACAGTTCGTTACTTTTTATTAACAGCTCGCTAACTTTTTATTAACAGCTCGCTAACTTTTTATCTACAGCTCGCTAACTTTTTATCTACAGCCCGCTAACTTTTTATCTACAGCTCGCTAACTTTTGAACTTCAGCTGGCTAACTGTTTATCAACAGCTTGCTAACTCTTTATCTACTGCTTGCACCTAAATCCGGCCAGACTAATTTAGCCAACCTTAAGCTTGGTTGGTTGGTGGTCAAGGGAAGGTCCTAAATGTGTGACAGGGACTTTAGATATATCCGAAAAGAGTTATGTCAGGTTGGTAGAACATAGGATATCGGTATTTTCTTTTGCACAACCAGTCTTAGTGAGGCATTACTGATTGTGTACAAGAAAATCCCAATATCATAGACTTAGAATACGATTTGTACCGTAAGGTACAGGTACTGCCCCTTGTTTCTCACAGACGTTAGTCCATAGTTGTTCGTTCGAAATGATATCTTGCAGAGGATGACATAGAACCCTTACGTATCTACGCTGCCAACTGCGTTCTTTCTCATCATGTTTCTGGCAGCCGAGCGCAAGTTCTGGTTTTTCCAGCCATAGAGAAACGGGTTTATAACTACGTTAGTCGAGTACAGCATAGAACCGAGTCGGAGAATTTCACTAGGAACAGAAACAGAGGAGACCATGTGCAAACCTACAATTAACGTAGACAGTAACCACGTCAAGAAAAAGAGGACGAAGATGACGAAGAGTGTTTTTGTCAGTTTCTCTTCCCTCTCTCTTTGCCGCTTGATGATTACGTCACATGTCTGTTCCTGACGTCGCCGTCGGACGTACAAGTACGTCTTGGCGTAAAACACGGCTGAAAGAGCGGAGAGAACGGCGATCTGGCCGACCCATACCTTGACGAAGTTGACGTTGGCGGTGGAAGAGTTTCCGAGGACGATACACTTCCTGGGCAGCTCGTAGAAGCCCGTAGTCATGCCCGCGGCCTGGGAGACACCGACGAACGACACGGTGTACACCCAGGTCAGCCCGGCCACACGTCCGGTGTTCCTATCGGAGAACAGCCGGTGGTAGTCGTCCGAAGACCTCGCGACTAGGACGTAACGGTTCACGGCAATGATGGTTAGGTTAACGATAGAGCACATAATCCCAGTGATAGAAAGAAAGGCCACGACTTCACAGACGGCTGTTGGAAGCGGCCAGCCGTTGGCAGCAATGGCGACTACGTGAAACGGTTCTGTGCAGGTTACGAGAAGCTCAACCAAGCTGAGGTTAGCGACGAGAATATTAGAAGAGTTTCGCAGCGTCTTATTCCTCAGGATCAGGGTAAGGATTAAGATGTTTCCAACGAATCCGAGCAAAGACACCACGCTCATGTAGACTGCTTCGACCCCGTCCAGCACTCTCCCATCTATGTTAGTACTAGTTGATGTAGACTGGTTTGTACCTGTATCCTTCTCCATTGTAGCGCTCTTGTACCTGCATCTGTTCTCGTTTTACCTCACGCTAAAATATTTTTCAATCTTTCTCAGGTCTGTGTTGAGTTCTAGTAACCCGATGTTTTGGATGAGGTCAGGTAGTCCTGAGTTGGTCTACGGGCATCCTGAAAAATAAAGCTCAGTTTCACTGTTACACTAATAAGAGGACGACGTCTCCTTGCGAAAAAATTACATAATACCCCATATGGTATGCAGTGCACAATGAAACATTTGTTTAGTGATATCAATTAATCAATAAACTTATTTTAGACGCAGTTGAACAAAGTGGACGTTTTGGGAAAACGTTTTTGTCATTTACCGCCAAAAAGTCGGTGCTGGGTTTCAATTTGATAAAATGAAGAAACATAAAACTAGATATTCAAGGGTTATTTATCTAAAAATGAAATTGTACGGATCCTTTGGCTACCTTCCCGAAAATCACAAGAAGCAGAACGGCTAGACCTTACCTGACCACGGCCGACGGACAAAATTCACAAACAACTGATCAAGGAAAGCTTGAGAAGAATTCAAAACTAAGCAGTCTTATTATGATCTCTTATGAATTTGTGACATATGAATTTATCTCCCAGATTATCCTGGTGTTAACATGATAAGGAAATGAGACTTCTGGTAAGAGCTACACGGACTAATTAGTACATCAGAACTCATTACAGGGGCACCAAATATTTTGATTGAAAAAAAAAACGTACTTGTCAAGTTGTTATTTACTTCCACTTTTCAACATATTTGAATGTGCAATTATATCTCATTTCTGACATTTATGGCTGGTGCTAAAACGGCCCACATAATTTGTAACACCACCATAAACTCTGCTTCCACATTCGTTTGGTGTAATATTTTGGCACCTCCACTTCTGAATAACAATTGCAATGGAGTAGGATTGATTAAACTAACGTTGTCCAAAAATTGACTCTTTGTATCGTTCTTATGTGTCTCTATTAGAGACAGCAAGTAATTTTTATGGATGGCATCCGCGCGCGCATTGATTTTCGCCTGATTTTGGAAAGAAAACAAGAAATTTTGTTGCCTTCTGACAGTGGTCAACATGCCGAAAATGGGCAAAGATGTCTGTTGCCATGCCGGAACGTGGATGGCAGATAACTATGAAGAGAGGAGACAAGAAAAGGCTCTAATTTAATGTCTTGTTTCTTACTTTGATGCAGTGATATGTGATACTGGCTGTGTATAGTGATGTTCCCAATGAATCAAAACAATTTGTACCATGATTGAGTCAAAATTTTACAATGTAGGAACCTTGTTTTTTACGGCCCGCCTTGTTTTTTTTTCGCCCGCTCGCATTAGATTTGGAGTCTGCGGAAGATGTCATCCATGAAATTTACTTGCTGTGGCCTAATGCAGATTTAACACCTCCAGAGCTCATTCTTCAGTCCAACACAATAAATTAAAGCGCATGGAATTTCGATGGCCCTGCTGCAGTCTGCCCCAACTCACCAAACAAACAGATATCGTGAAAAATTGATCAGAAGTTTCAGGAAGTTTATAGCGCCCGACGTCTTTGTTGAGCGATGATCAGTGTGGCCTGGTGTAGATAGCTTCCTTGCTTCCCCTCACCAAGTACAATGTATTCATGCTAAGAATCCGTCAACGTAATGCATAAGACAATAATTTCATATGCACGGCGGTCTGTCACTACAGTATTCTTTCCCATTGCTAGGGGGGTTCGAAAAGGTATCGGGTTACAAGACGCAAGTTTGGCCAGTTTGGGACTACCCGTAAACCACTTGAAAATAAACAAGTAGAATTGAAGGATAACTTCCGTCAAAATAAAATGAAATTATCGTCTTTACATAGGTTAAATGTTAGTTATTTACGTTAAATTATTAATTTTTAAAAATCTCGCTCCGAAAGACGATTTTTTTCGGGATTCGGAGCGCCGGTCCGAGACAGTCCGAGTCATGTTTTTAGGCAAACACCGTTTAAGATTGGCTACGTATATTACCCCAAGTCAAAAATCGTGTCTTAGGAATTTTTTAATTTCTGATTTTAAGTATAGTTTTTGTCGACATAAATGTGAAAAAACAGCATTTTTTGACATTTTTTGCACTAAATTGCTCATAATTGAAAATCAAGGTCCTTTTTTGAAAATCCCTAAGACTCGATTTTGGACAAACCCGTTACGGTCCTTTTGAGTCGTCAATGAGATATATTGGACTCTCCATGCTTCCAATCTTAAACGAGTTTTGGACGCATGTCATACGGCATGAATATGAGTAGTGTTTATTTAGGCTGGCGAGTACAAGCATTGCGATCTTCAAGGTCACCCACGATAACGACAGTAGCTTCGTTTCATGTTCCAGCCCACTACAAAATGAAGACAGACATGTAGTTGTCCAGGAAATGGTTTATATTTGTTAAAAGGTGGATTTTTTTCTGTTAGGAGGTAACACATGTAAAAAGGGGCCGGAAGACGCACGTTTACTGTAAATGACCGCGAGTGACCCCATTTCGAACACCGTTCTATTCGAATTACGTCAGATCGAACACGGTTCGGGTTCTACTGCAGGTGGGGAGATCGGGGCCCAATTTTGACCACCGTGATGGATCGACGGACATTCACTAGTTAACAACTTACATTATCAGTATGAAAGTTCATCTGTTTTGGTTACTTCATTATGACAAAAAAAGGTTAAACGTTCTTTCCAACACTGAGTAAATTGGAACTTCTATTTTAATCACGTGTTTCCGACGTCACGTCCCGGAAGCTGCAGTAGAAGGGTCCATTCCGTGGGCCGAAAATTTGGGTAAGTCCCAATTTACTCAGTGTTGGAAAGAACGTTTAGCCCTTTTTGTCATAACTTACATTATTGTTTCCTGTCAAACCAATTTGGAAATTATTACAAAAAGTTTTCAAAAGTACAGATAAGTCGATTCTATAAAACCAAAAAGATGCTTATGATATTAATTTTTGGCATGATCTATGATAGATTTACTGGATTAGATGGCTTTTCTACGTTGCCATCTGAGCCGAATGGAAAATACTAATGAAGCTTCTTAGATGAAAAAGTCGCATCGAGAGTCTGTATGACCTTTGTCAGGGTACATATGACATTTTTATTTTATTTTATGACGATTTACCACATTTGTGGAAGGATTGACATAACAGGTGACTATCACCTCTTCAAAGATGTCAAACCTGAGACCAGACTGTAAGGTTTGAACCACTCACACCGGGAAGGTCCCCTACTCTTTTCGAAAAGTGCGGTGGTTTCTTTAACGTGCGTGGGGTGTGGCTCTCCCCAAACACGGGACCTCCATTTAACGTCCTATCCGAGGGACGTCCCTAACCGAAGCTAGGTACTCATTTACACCTGAGTGAGGTGAGAAAAGTCGTGTTAAGTGCCTTTCCCAAGGGCACAAGATCGGTGACATGGGCTGGGTTCGACCTCTCAGGTGTGAGCCGAACGCGCTACCGACTGCGCCACACGACCGGTACCCCACATGCTCCCCGTAAGTAGAGTTAAGCACCTGTCACACATTCAGAACCTTCCCCCGAACACCAACAAATCAAGGTTGGCTGAAGTTTTGGGACAGTCAGATCAGATTTAGGCCACGCCTACCTTCCTTACCCCTGAGTCAAATTTGAGTGAAATTTGACTGACAACCACGCCACGACCACTGCTAACACCAGCCAACCACTACCAAATGTCAGGTCATTTGAATTTTATACCAGGGCTCCAGATCCCAAAATGTACATTTTTTTTGCCTGAAATGGCAAAAAAGCCAAATAAAACAATTCTAAAAGCGCGTATCCAAAGAAAATGATGATGCTAAATGGCATGTCACTTGCCCCCCAAAATGAAGAAATGGTGGGAGGAGAAGGAGAGGGAGAAGACACATGAGGGAAAACAATATATTTCTGAAATATAACACTATATTTCAGCCATACCAAGTTTTATGATTGAAATATAAATATTGCAAAACGCCTCGGGCAATGAGAATGAGCCGATCCTTACATCTGCTTGGAGATCATAGTACCCTCGGCCTCCACCCGCACGTTTTGCTCTTTGTACTCTAACGAACAAATCACCTGCCGTTGTACAAACATGAGACGGGAACAAAAGGGCAAAGATCTGGGAACACAGAAGGTGAGTGACTCCGGTACGAGCCCGGTGAAACAGACCGCTGTGGCTACCTGATCTCTCCGCCGGTGATAGTGTGTCCGCCCGCCCAGCCTCCCGCTCAGCGCACGGTATGGATTTCAATTATTCACCACGAAGTATCAGAAAGACAGGCTAACCAGATCGAGTGCCAGACAAAAAAAAATCTGCGACTGAAACACTCCAAAGCCGGTCCGCAGAGAATGGTCCAAGAGTTGCACCGGTACGAAAATATTTGGCATCTCTGCATTTTCCCACTAGAGTCGCGTATGTAAAAACTATGGCGTACAACGTGCTACAGTCTACACATGTCAACCGCCGCCGACTGAAGAACGTTACACGAGGACTGTGCATAGCCATAGTCTTCCTTCTCGGGGTGTTGGTATATATCCAGTATTTCATAGGTCTAAACGTACGTACTAACGTCATCACTAAAGGAGTAGTTTACTCGTTCGAAGAGTGGAGACGGGCTGATATGGTGGCACCAACCACTGAATTGGAAACAGTCGTCTGCAAGCAACCACATCTAGAGTTAAACCGTCCTGAAATAGCGCACTGGTTCCACGATATCAACCCCTTCACCTGCACTGGTCGCGACGACGTGTTCACCATACAAGATGGCGTGGTCACAGTCGACATGGTCAAAGTTCACAAACACATAGCCCCGGAGTTCGACAAGTGCCAACTTTGGTCCTTCCACAGAATCGACGACGAAGAGGCTGTATTCCAAAACAAAGTAGAGGAGAGGGTTGTGGACACGAGTGATTCTGTTCGGCTGAATTTTAACGTCACGACTGATTTCTTTAGAGTGAAGTGTGGAGAGTTTGAAAGGTATTTCTCTCACATCTATCCAAACCCAAACTTACTGGTACCACAGAGTCGCCCCGTTTTGAAAGTGAGCCCGAACCCTTTTCAAGGCGTCAGTGTGTTGATGCTCGGTTTCGACTCGACATCTCGTTTAAACTTCATGCGGAAATTGCCGAAGGTTTACGATTATTTGACAAAAGAAATGGGCGCCGTTGTGCTTCGAGGATATAACATAGTAGGCGACGCGACCGCAGGTGCATTCATACCTATCCTCACAGGCCACACGGAGGCAGAGCTACCGAACGTCAAAAGAAACACGGAGAATTCACAATTTGTTGACGTGTACCCGCTTATCTGGAAACAGTACAAGAAGAAAGGATACGCCACCCAGTTCGCTGAAGACATGCCCGGTTTTGCCGCGTTTAACCTACGTTTAAACGGATTCAAAGAACAACCCACGGACCACTACATGCGGCCATTTTGGCACAAAATAGACGAAGGGCCCACATTTTGCTACGGGTCCGTCCCAAAGCACGTTATGATGTTTGACTACCTGAAGGAGTTTCACCTTGCGTACGAGAGTTCCCGGCCACGGTTTGGGTTCACTTTTCTCACTCAGATCAGCCACGATGACCTGAATATCATCGAACTGGTACAGCAGGATCTATTGAACCTACTCTCAGGTCTGTACGAGGAGGGGCATTTGAACAACACTATTATGGTCGTCTTTAGTGATCACGGTCCAAGGTATGGAAACATGAGGGAAACATTACAGGGGAAAATAGAGGAAAGACTGCCTTTTATGTCTATTGTACTCCCGGATAGCATCAATCGCAACCACCCGAAGGTCTTGAAAACCTTGCAGCAAAATTCGGACAGGTTGACCACACCATTTGACATGTACGCTACGTTAGCTGACGTTATAGGACACAAAGATCCGCACCTACCGGCGCCTAACGGTCTACCTCGGGCGATCAGTCTCTTCACAAAAATCCCCGCCAACCGGACTTGTCAAGACGCGGGGATTGAGACGCATTGGTGCGCCTGTCTGCAGTGGAAATCTATTCCGCCAGAGGGCAGTGTCGCCACGAAGGTTGCCAAGTTCTTGGTTGCACACATCAACGCCCTCATCAAGCCCTACATGAGTCTGTGCCACCAACTGTCGATTGTAAACGTGACCCATGCCGAGGCGGCTGAACCAGATAACCAAACCGGCATCACGTATAGAGATGTACAGATCACAGTAGAGACCACGCCGGGACTGGCACTGTTTGAAGCGAATGTTCACATCACGGAAAAGCTCGGAAACGACTCCATGACTGTTACTTCAGACATCAGTAGAATTAACAAGTATGGACACCAAAGCGACTGTGTCCTGAACACGAATCCAGAACTTAGAAAGTATTGCTACTGTAGGGAAGATAAAAATTGACCACTACTTGCCTATTGTGAGAAGAAGGAAAACTAATTATGAATTTCACGAAGAAAATGCATTCCAAAGCAAGCTTTATTCACTGCAATTAACGGGAAAACAAATTATTCTATGAGGACCAATCGCAAGGCTTTGAGAAATATGTATTCTGTGAGGCCAATATCATATTGCTATATAATGCTCACACACTGTTTACCTCGCCTTACTGTTCCCAATCTGCAAAATATAAAACTTCACGGAGAATTGTCGCTCATGACTACTTGTTTTAGATAAAGATCACAATTCAGAATATGAATTCACTTCAAAATTGCCAATGGAAAGTACTGTATGCTGGATCTGTGTCAGTATAGCCGATATAACCGACATTCGGCGTAACACACCAGCTTCGCAGGCACTCGGCGCGGCGGCAGCTAGCTATATGACCCTATATCACACCGAACGACTTGTTACACTCAATCTTTGCACATTTACTACAGTGTTAACGTTTAGAAGACATATTCAATACCTAGAATTTTCATAATAGGAGGCTGAACATATGGGGCAAATATCTAAATGAAGACAGGTACCAGACCATTTGGCATGTGGTTATCACTGTGATACAGGGAAATGGTCTGAACTGGATTCCAAATGCCGTCATGTTGGTATTTGGGCGGTATTTGGGCGGTATCACCTCATGCGGTGGTCAAGTGCAGCCTCGATATCTTTTATTTATCACAAATCAAGATTTTATTATCGAAAAGTCACCATTCTGGATATTTGAATAGACGTCTCAATGCACAACTCATGATCGGATAATCATATATGATTTTGTAACTCTCTATCCGCACTATTTTTCAGGGGGAGGTTCACTAATGCTTTGCAGACCCACTATTAAATTCGCTACTAGACCAACTGTGTCAGGGGGAGGTTCGCTAATGATTTGTAGGCCCTGTGTTTGATGCTCTGCAAGACCAACTGTGTCAGGGGGAGGTTCGCTAATGTTTTGTTAAAGCCCTGTGTTTGATGTTCTGCAAGACCAACTGTGTCAGGGGGAGGTTCGCTAATGTTTTGTAGGCCCTGTGTCTGATGCTCGGCAAGACCAACTGTGTCAGGGGAGGTTCACTAATTGTAGAGCAACTGTGTAAGGGGAAGGTAACTAATACTGTGCAGGCCCTCTATTTCATGCCCTCCTATCCCAACTGTGTCAGGGGCAACTCACTAATGTTTTGCAGGCCCTGTGTCGGATCTGCAATACCAACTATCTAGAATTGGGTGTTTTTTTATTATTAACTATTTATTACCATTCTTTATTCATAGGAAGTTCAAATCGGCCTACAGGCCACTTTTCATTGAGATGAAGAGGGAAGCGTCAGACCCAGACAAAATAAATAGCGCACAGTTTACATTGTTTAAAGATCTAATAAATGATTACTTGGCTAAATTTCACAAAAATAATAATGGAGAAAACAGTTTTGGAGAGAAATATTCTGCCTTGGTTAGCAAATGCTGACCTGTCTTCTCGGTATGCCCGGTATTTTGACATCATGACCTCATGCGGTGGTGAACTGTACTGCAGCCTCTTTTATGTAATACTCTGAAATCATAGAAACAACAGATGTCGGACAAGAAACAAGATTTCACTACTAGATTTCACCACTACGTTTTTGTTTTTGATGGTCTTGTAGCGGGCGGGTTGCATGAAAATCCACGCCGCAGTTCGCTATCCACGTCGTGGTTCGCTGACACTTCTAGCTAGCTTGCTTGAATACGCGAAACTAACGAAAGGCACCACAAATCGGCATATGGATACATACATTTCCCCAAAACTTCTTAATAATGAATTTCTTAAATGTAATGTTACTAAGTAGTGGTAGGAACACGTAGAAAGTACGGTAGTGTAACTGTCTTCGCCAACAAACAAATTCTGCAGCTCTGCCGGCAAAGTTGGCTCTATCCAATCAGAGCGCAGGTCATATGAGGTCAACCAATCAGAGCGTAGAGTGCACGCTGCTAGTTACATATTAATGAGAAAATGGCGCGTGTTGTCTTCATCTACCGGTGCAATAGCTCAGTTGGTAGAGTGCTCGCTTTGTAACCGGGAGGTCGTGAGTTCAAACCCCGGCCGGGTCATACCAAAGACTTTAAAAATGGTACACACTTCTTTCTCTGCTTAGCACTCAGCACATATATGAAAAAGAGTGGGTGAAGGTCAAATACACAGCACTACCAGCGGACCAGCCCCCTACTGTAGTGCATTGCACAATTGTGTGTCGCCCAAGGGCTACGAAATGGAGATGGGCACCACCCTACGCTCGGGCAAGAGCACGGGGAGACCTTCCTTCCTTACCTTCCGATGTTTGGAATTTTGCAGCAGAATGTCTTAAGTATTCCTGACGATACGTTTGCCATCTGTAGCAGTGTTTCTTATGTCAATACTTGTGTGTCACCAGTTAATGCCCTGCTATTCCGTGTCAAGAAATGTTCACGAACATTTTCAGGCCCTCTGATACACTGCCAGACCAACTGTCAATGTGTTTACCAGTTGTAAGAACTGCAACCTTGTTCGCAGTTGGTTCAGTTACATCCTGCTTGAAAATCCTTTGGCATAGAAGTCAAACAATGACCTATGGTAAATGTAACTGTGCCATAATAGACTAGGCCGTACAAGAAATTGTTTGTATCTTCTGTTTCAGAAGTCATTTGGGATATTCTCACCAGCATGGCATCAAGTGGAGTCAGCTCTGATGACATGGAAAGGAGTTTGGAAGGGGAGTTTGGCGGTGGAATGCTGACTGCAAAATCCTACGTGTGTGAGGAGTGCAGCAAGCAGTTCAGTCGGAAGGGTGATCTGAAGACTCACATGCGCACGCACACAGGGGAGAAACCTTACAAGTGTGAGGAGTGCAGCAAGCAGTTCAGTCATCTGGGTAATCTAAAGACCCATATGCGGACTCACACAGGGGAGAAACCCTACATGTGTGAGGAGTGCAGCAAACAGTTTTGTCAGCTGTCTGATCTGAAGAGACACATGCGGACTCACACTGGTGAGAAACCCTACAGGTGTGAGGAATGTGGCAAACAGTTCACGGATCTGGGTAATCTAAGGAAACACACGCAAACTCACACTGGTGAGAAACCCTACAGGTGTAAGGAATGTGGCAAACAGTTCAGTGAGGCGGGTAGTCTGAAGATGCACATGCGGACTCATACTGGTGAGAGGCCTTACAGGTGTGAGGAGTGCAGCAGGCAGTTTACTCAGCCGGGTAGTCTGAAGACTCACATGCGCACTCATACAGGGGATAAACCTTACAAGTGTGAGGAATGTGGCAAGCAGTTCAGTCGAATGGGTGATCTGAAGTCACACATGCAGACTCATACTGGAGAGAAACCCTACATGTGTGGGGAGTGCAGCAAGCGGTTCAGTTGTCTTTACAGTCTGAAGAAACACATGCGGACTCACACTGGTGAAAAACCTTACGTGTGTGAGGAGTGCAGCAAGCAGTTCCGTCAGTTGGGTAATCTGAAGTCACACATGCGGACTCACACTGGTGAGAAACCCTACAGGTGTGAGGAGTGCAGCGAGCAGTTCCGTCATCGTTCCAGTCTAAAGAAACACATGCAGACTCACACTAGGCATAATTCTTAAAATGTTCCGAGTGTTGCAAACCATCACAAGAGTCATCTTAAAGGCCCATTATGTAACTTTTTGACAATACAAAAAGTATATTTTCCAGTCTTTTCTTTTCATAGTAAGTTGACTTAACCCTTTAGTATTCCAGAGCAATATTCAGCCATAAAAAAATACAACATCCTTGCTCCAAAAAAGCATGATAGAAGACTGAATGATCTTCTATTCAAACCTCTGGCCACACCGAACGTATGGTATTGTCCAGGCCGGTCGTGTGGCCTACCTCCCAGTGGGGTGTCAGTCGACAGCTTACAAGTTTCCTAAAGACCTAATCGTTTACCAGATTTTTGATCTCTTTTGAAGGGGTAATGACCACAGTTTATTGATGACTAACAAAGTGCACTAAGTAGATAATTATATTCCACCTCATGTAAAAGATATGAGTGTTTCCAAACAAGCTAATCTTGTGACATGTGCCCCTGTCTATCTAGCCTGGCATGCCAGACTAATTAGCCACCCTAGGGGGCCAACCACTGTAATTGTTTTTGTTGTTGTCCTAGTGTAAGGCCAAACCGGTGGCACTGGGAACTGGGGGCTGTTTGAATCAACAAAAAATATGCATGTCAAAAATGTATAATAATGACACAAATGTGTTGAAAAGGGATAGTATCTGATGGTAACATCAAAATCTAGTACATTGTATTATTAGAAGATTTCAAATTTTTGCGTAAAAAGTGACATAAGGGGCCTTTAAAGGAAACATGAAACATTGTTTTGCACAGTAACCTGAGTATTCTGATGAAAGTATGTTGCTACCGCTAACAAAATTTGATAACCTGTCAATAGGAGAGTAGTAGCTTCCTGTTGTTGTATTTTGTTAGAATTTAGTTCTGGTGATTACAAAGTAGCTTTTTATGCTATAGATGAAGCTTTTCCTTAGCATGAAGTTTTTGTAACACAGCTTTTCATTTTTTTTCTAACACAGTTTTTCATTTGTTTGTTAGTTCTTTCTACCCAGGATCAAGACAGTTCTTTCTTACTCTTAGCAAAATCCAGAAACTGTATGGATCCTGTTAGATTTTTCTTAATCACCCTAATAAATTATCACACCCATTTACTTACCTATATTGTTTTGTTAGATTTGGGCACCGAATGATAGTGAGTTCCGAATGATAGTGAGAAGAGAAGTATTCGAAAACTAAAGCCAAGTTAGTTCTAGAATGATATAGTCGCAGTTTGTAGTTCTTAACTAGATGCCATATTTCAAGACAATTGTTGGAAAAAGCAGAATGTAGTTTTGTAGTCCCATTTTTCTTTTTAAACATGTGTACTTCTTGTAGTGTTTATAGACATTTTTTATGTTTAGTTTAGTTAGTTTTGTTTATATCTAAAGTTGTTCAAGTTACTAGTATGTGTATGTATGTACTGCACTTGAAAATAAAGCTTAGTGTTTGATTTGCATTTAACATTTGTATTAAAGTAACATAATATTTGTTGTAACAGAACAAGAAACATTTTTTCCCATTATACATACACTCAGACTCAACTGATTTAAATGTGGATGAGATTAAACAGCGTTCCCAATGACAGAACTTTTTAAAACAAAACGTATAATAAAGCCGTTTGATAAAATCAAGATGTATAAAATCAATTGTATATACGGGATATATAACGTAAAACATTCTATTTCAAAACATTTGGCTGAACCCTAAAATCGATGCCAATTCTTTTGGAAACATGTTCAATTAGCGTCTTTATTTTACGAAGTTTCTCTACGGCTAGAGGCAAAAAAGAAATATATTCTGTAATAAAGACTGACAATTGCATTGAATATCATCTCTTGTCAGTCCGAGAAAAAACCTTTATAGCTACAATGTAATACAGCAAAATTTAGAATTGGCATTTTAAAATCATCTCACAATTCAAATAAAGTAAAAGTTGTCGTTTAGTTAAAATTAGAGCTACCTACTTTCAAAACACCGTTAAAATATCATCTGTGTAAATAGTTTGACATGTATAATAGTGGGTCTGTGGAACCCCCGGGGATCACAGCGGGTAACTAGCTTGCATATATAATAAATCTATACTATAGCCTTGGACCTCATTAATTACATAAATATGTCTCTTTATCTCCTCTTTAAAAAACTACATACCTTTATGCCTGTTTAGACTCAAATTATGAACTTCGTTCTTCAAAAATTATAAAAAAGTATCTTCGATTCTCTTTACTAATAAAGACAATGTCAAAATTTTAACTATTTATATCTGGTGATAACTTTATCCTTTATGTGTAGTATGGATAATCTGGGGTATTATGCAATTTTCTCATTAATTATGTGAATTAGTACATGATTTTCGCGGTTCGAATCTATTAATTCCTGTCGAAGTTACAGTGTTTACTACGTATAAAGTTCCTGTTTCAGCATATTAATTGAAATATAGATTTTGACTGAAAAATGTCTTTGGGAGGCAATAAGTGCACAATCATAGATTCATTATTACATACAGTTGAAATTCATCATACTTTTGTGTGTGTGTCCTTAGGCTTGTAAAATGATTTGGAGTGCCGGTGGAGGGATACTTGATTACAATGGCGACCGGGATCATAGACTGGAAGAATAAATCGTATAAAACTTATACGCTGTTTATATTTTGTACCAACATCTTAAACTTTGTTCATTGAATGATACTCATTATGATTGGATGTAATTTAGGAAGTGTTTTATTTCCGTCTGTGTTCTATGTATTTGTGACAAAATTACTTTTAACACAGACTATTCCGAATACGTTTTCATGGGTACCCCATTGCCTCTCAGCTGTCCCCGCGAGTTGTAGTCCGTATTCAGATCAGTTGGGTTTGACGACGACGTTCCTGTCGAGTACTTGGTTGCACGAGAATCGTCCACGAGACATCCGCAAAACCTGGTTTTAAAGAAAGTATGGTTTTATCTAACATAATAACAACATGAATTTCATCAAAATCTGACGATGGGGTGCCATTGGCATTGCATCAAGTAACAGAGCCATTTAAGCCAAATACAATTATACCTTATTGAATTCCTACAACTACATTTTGAATAATTCTCGTACCATAACAGTGATGCCTATCAGCTCTACTTGTATTGATATCAGCATGAACGTTCATCTGAGTTGGTAAATTACATTATGAAAACCTTCTCTCCAACTCAAAATTTGACTCACCAGAAATTTTCGACTGAATCACTCAGTCTTCCTCAGCTATCTGACCCAAATGCTGTAGAAACGTGATTTTTCCCACGTGTGACGTCAGCAAAGGGTCAAAGGTTGTCTGAAGTCGATATAGCCCCCCGAGGCATAAAAGAGGCCATATGCATCAGGGCACTTCAACCATCGCTCAACCGGGACGGGGGGCGATATCGATTTCAGACAACCTTTGACCCTTTGCTGACGTCACACCTGGGAAAAATCACGTGTCCACAGCATTTGGGTCAGATAGCTGAGGAAGACTGAGTGATTCAGTCGAAAATTTCTGGTGAGTCAAATCTTGTATTGATATCATTGGTCTCGTGATTTGTAGAGAAAAAAATGACGTTCTTCACTGGATGAATGGCCTTCATCTATTGTATGAAAAAAGACGAAATGCTGCCAAACTAATGATGTATAGCAGTCAGCAATAGACTTTTCTACTAACTTCAACCACAGGTTCCGGACTTCCTTTTGACGGAGGCAATGGAAGATGAAGATGAAGAATCCTTGCAGGGAGTTGAAGATGCAGAACAAGTAGGAAAAGACGATCCTTCCGTCACTGCAAGACAACAAAATATTGATCTTTAAATAAAATCGTTAAAAAATAAAATTGATGTGGACGTGATTCTTACTGATTTGATTTTACGGATTTATGGATACATCAATATCAATACGAGCTAAGAGACCAAATGAAAAAAAGATAAGAGATCAAGATCTTAATATTGCATGTGGTTTCTGTCGTTGTTGGCTTCCGTTCTGACACTTGTGATGTTTGTTAACAATTTATACACATTTCATGAATAATTTCACGAAAATCCCTTATCTCATCATGTGTACAGTTCTGAACTGCGGATTCTGATCTACAACCCTTTTCAAGCCACATTTATATATCTAAATTTTAGATCCAAATCTCTAAAGTAGTTACAGATCTGACATCTTCGAAGCTTGATACCAAACTCCCTTACACTTACTCCCTTACCCTTACACGATCGAATGTATATATTAACTGCATTAGGGATCCTAGAATAAATCTCTTGGCTGATCATGTTCACAAATCCTACTAACAAATCCATATCTGAAACTCTAACCCTTACGAGCGCGGCAATATGACAGGTTCAGATTATTAACCTGATCATGAAGACTCCAAAGATCCAGGTGAGTCCGACCAGCACCATGATGGCGATGGCGATACGCAGATTCTGCTTCGTCGCACCACTTCCGGGATGAGCGATTTTTCCTGAGAAGATTTATCAATATTCATATATTTGCACCTTTCCCTTTTTGTACAATTGCACTACAATGCGTCTGGTCAAGTGCACGATACAGGCCGGGTATACGTATAATATAGTATTAAGTGCATTATTAAAGAAATTTTAACTAAAGAGAAAGGAAAAAAAATGAAAAGGAATAATTCCTTCAACATAACATTATACATATTGGAAAAGCATTTATTCACAACTGACCGTCGGTCCTCTCTCCACAGGACAGCTTACTGATGACCATGATGTACACGATGGTGTTGAACACCAGTACCAGTCCGGCAGGCAACAGGAAACCGTAGTACAGCTGGTTACCCTGCAGCCAGCAACTAGTCAGTAGGAACAAGAATGGCAAACATCACTTCCACATAAGTACCTGTACCTGGGTAGGTCTTTGATAGGTAACAGAGACAATCTAATTTTGCTAATATTTGCCTCGTTTAGTATCTCAAATAATGTCCTTGATATTTTGGAGTGAACATGCAGCAAAAAATAAAAAGATAAAAAATCGTCGTTTTCAAACTTGAATCTTACTATATTTTTTCGCTTTAAATGCTTATTTTCCAGGCTAGCACGTTGTACGTCTGAGGCCATCATTTGTATTAATACTGGAGCGTTACGATTCAATTATTCATCAAAATATTTCTCGATAGAAAATTTTCGAAAACCTTAAGTTTCGATCGCTTAATAACTACATGAACAAAGCATCTCATATTAATAGTTTGCTAAAGGAAATGTTATATATGATGCATATGTTTTCCTATTTCTTTTGCCTAAATTAAGATTTTTCTTTATATTCTTTCTTTCATTTCAGATAGTGCAGACTAACATTTTGGCATGAGTTTTCCTAATCTATGCTCTATCAAACATGTGGTGGTTATGTCTGTCAAGATAACTGAATAGCCATACCTGTCATTTGCAAACTTAAAGGGTATTATGTCAAATGAATTACAAGCGTGGGAACCCGATTATTTTAAAACCGTATCTTACACGCTATTGCTCCTGTAGGTTCCCTGTCCAGGATAGGTGCTGGGAACATCCACAGCCAAAGTAGCGATGGCAATGACCAACGGAAGACCTGAAAACATCAAAGATTACTCAAATTGCTTAATTTGGCTATTCTTGCTAGTTCCTCTCTATTACTATAGTTTGGTTGTGTGTTGTGTCGTGTCATGATTTTGATGCACAAATTTCCATGAGTTTGATGCAAAAAATGCACTAGGTCTTTAATGGTATGTTTCTTGAATAAAGTTCAGTGTGGCAATGTAATAATCTAACAGGAGTATTAAAAAAGGCCAAATCATCCCGTTGAAGACACACATCACTGTATTGTAAGCAGAACCAATGTGACATTTTGTTAAAAAAAAAGAACTGTACTTACCCCACGCAAATATGGCTGCCTTGAGGATAAATCTGGAAACATGTGCCCCCAAGACTTTGATGAAGGCCAGATACATGTTGAAGGCTTCCACTGCCATCCACATGAACACAGCCAGGAGGAAGTAGTGCAGCAGAAACGCCACGACGGTGCAGCCGATTGGGGAGTGGGTAGCGTCGATGCCGGTCAGGAAGAGGATGAGGGTCGCCAGTAAGGCGATGCACAGGTTGGTGAGGATGTGCTGTGGTCTGGTCTTACGAAGCTGCCTAAAACAGAGAGAAACTGGAGATTTTAGACTTCCGACATTGTTTTTGTATTTAATGTATTAGAACTTTAGCACATGATCATTGAAAAATACCGGATTCAATTGCTTCATAAAATAGATAAATACTTACACGACAGTATGGCGTAATGAACTCCGGTATTGCACAATGGTCTTTTATTTATTTAGCACAGTAAACAGCTTCCTGGTGACCTCATACTACACCCTACCGCCAAGGGCATACCTGGCCACAAGCCTTGCTATAGAATCAAATCCTATAATACATCATGACTACATAAATGTAACATCCGAGGAAACAAAGTGTGTTATATCTTCTTAGTAATACCAATCACCTGCATGACATGAACAACTTACTTGAATATCAGGTAGGAGATAAGAGTGAGGGTCAGGCCTGTGATAGACACCACGATCCCGATCTTACTAATCAGATCCAGTAAAAAGCTGTGCAAGCCTCCATAGATGTCCTGAAATAAATATGATAATTCTGATCATCGTCAGAGTACAATCTACGATTACGATACTTTTGAGTTAAAGAGACGGAGAATGAAAACGTAACGTGATCCGTGAGTTGCCCTTAATGCAGGAGGCAACATGCAACATTATGCAATTTCCTAATGCTTAGGTCACATTTCCAAACCGGGGCCCGGCCGGGCTGTCTTTTGTAACGAAAAATATGGTATAAAAGACAACAACGCACAAAACACTTAAGAGCCGATGTCTGTAAAAACCAAGCAAATCAGAAAAAAAGTGGCCAAACTAAAAAAAACAAATTTTCTCAAACTTTGTGTGGTGGTAAGGCCTTGACCCAAACTTACAAAAATGGGTAAGTTTTGGACGCCTGGTTATTTGTTGCCATGGCAACGGCCATTTTTCAAAATGGCGGATTTTTACCTTGTGGAGGCATAAGTCTTGCCCAAAATGGACCATCTTTTACCTTCCGTATCTCACAGAAAATAACACATATCTCATTGCTTCTAACATATTTTATTATCCATATTGTAACTAAGAAAATGATATAAAGTTGTGCTCGAAATGTTTTTGTGGTGAGCTGTAGCAGACGTTTAAAAATGGCGTGTTTTTGTAAAATTTCAAAATTGAGAAAAAGCCATTTTAGGACGTTTAGAGTGAACCATGGCCG